CAGATACATTTCATGTCAGAAATAACACACCAAAAATAAGGTTCTTATTCTCTATCAAAAGCTAAAACCTATCCAGTCATCTTCATCAGAAACCTGGGGAGCCATCATGGACGCTTTTCTCTCTTTTCTCTCTTTTCTCTCTTTTCTCTCTTTTCTCTCTTTTCTCCCTTTTCTCCCTTTTCTCCCTTAGACCTAGCCACTAAGACACTAATGGCTTTCTATGACTGGCTCCCTGTGTTTGGCTGCACCACACACACTCTCCCACCTATTCTGTGCTCTAGCGCTTCTCTGTTTGTAGCTGTCTGCAAAGTGAACCCCCTTTCTGAACTTTGTTATTTGTGGTATCTCTGCTCAGAGTTCTCTCATTATCTTTCTCACCAGCCACCCACCATCTGCTCATGTTTCCTTACTTTGTTCAGGCTTCTCCAGCACCCATTGCAGACCAGCAAGCTGAGTTCAGTTAATGCTTCTTTTCTGTACGTAAAAGAAACCCGCTCTCTACCTCTATTGTGGTGCAGCAGTTCCTGTAATATTAATATATTTATGCATCTGTCTTCTCTATCAGATAGTAATGTCTACAGAAGACAGAGAGTGTCTTAGTTATCTTTGCAGCTCCAATGACCAACCCAGTATAATCTTTTTGGAGCACAAATGTGACCGTGACTTCCCTCTGCTTAAAAGTTTTTAGTGATTTCCATTGGAAAGCAGGATTAAAATTCAAGTACTTTATTTTGGCAGTCAAGGTCATTATGATCAGCTATCTTTTCAGGCCGTCTCTTGCCTTTCTTCTTTTACTTTATGCTTAGCAATACTAAATGAATTTACAAGCATATCATGTTCTTTCATGTTTCTATATTTTTAAATATTCTATTTCCTCTCCGTAGAACATCTGTGCCTTTCTCTCTGCTGTCCCTTTTATATCTAGTGATGTCTTCATCATCATGCAAAACCCAATCCAGACATTATTTCTTTCAGAAACCTTTCGTGACTCCTTTGATGTGTTGGTCAGTGGAGAGCTATCCCATCCTCTGCATCACCTCTGTTCCTTTTATGCTGGTATCCTTTGGTATATGATAAAAGATTGTAATCTTTTGAGTCATATGTAACCTTTGCATTTTAGTCCTTTTACTTGCTAGTTCTGTAATATGATATAAATTAACTCCTATAAGTCCCAGTTTTATTATCTTTAAAATAGGGATATTATTAGCTACTTTGCAGTGTTATGTGTTTTAAGTGAGATAGGATTACTTAGTGTAAAAATGTCAGCAAAATATGGTTCTTTCCTTAAGAAATACAGAAATAGGATAAGTTCTATATGATAATAGAGATATATGATTGGGAAGAAATGGTAAGTTCTATAATAAAGTACTATGGGAACAGAGGAGGGAGATTGTATTTAATAGCTGTCTGTTGAGGATTTGGAAAATATTTATTAAAATGGTAGCATAGGAAGAGGACCTTGAGAGATTTGTTCAGTAGGGAGAAGTTTTTTTTTTTAATGGTAGTGGTTAAGGATATTGTAAGTATAGGACAAAATGTGAACAAAGACAAGGAAGGTAAAAAGCATGGTACTTTTCAGAGAGTGGTTGTGGTGCCAGAATGGGGAGCCTCTGGAAGTGTGCTGTAGGGAAGGCATATGGCAGTGGTGGTAAATTGGGACCCTTAGATCATCGCGCACTCTGAATTCTATGCTGTGGAATCTGGGGGGAGGAGTGTATTACAGAATTAGTAGTAAGAGTGTAGGATCTGGAGACAGAGCAGTTAATCTTAAATCCCTGCTCTATCACTTATTTGTAGCTGTGAAATCTTGGGTCTGCCACCTTCTCTAAGTCCCAGTTTCCCATATAGCCATGGGAGAGTGTGAAATTTTCCATAGGGAGAATGCAAGCAAAGAAAATATGACACCTGAGGCTAGAACTGTGAAGATTTTTTAATATATTGCATACAATAGTCCTCCTTTATCTGTGATTTCACTTTCTGCAGTTTCTTGTTACCTGTAGTCTCTGGTGGTCCAAAAATATTAAATGGAAAATTCCAGAAATAAACAATTCATCAGTTTTATATTGTGCACTGTTCTGAGTAGTGTGAAATCTCTCACCATTCCTCTTCATCCCACCTAGGATGTGCATCCTCCCTTTGTCCAGTGTATCTGTGCTGTATATGCTACCTGCCCATTAGTTGCTTACTAGCCATCAGAACAGCTGTCTTGGTATCGCAGTGCTTGTGCTCCAGTAACCCTTATTCTGCTTAATAATGTCCCCAAAGCACAAGAGTAGTGATACTGGCATATTGTTATAATTCTATTTTATTATTAGTTATTGTCATTAATCTCTTACTGTGCCTAATTTATAAATTAAACTTTATCACAGATATGTGTGTAAAGGAAAACACATAGTGCATGTGTGTGTGTTTGTGGTTTGGTACTGTCTGCAGTTTCAGGCGTTCACTGGGGTCTTGAAATGTATTCCCCACAGATAAGGGGGGAAACCCTGTGTGTGGTTGACAAGAATGTATGTATCCTCACGTAGATTCAGAAGTCTGGGGGTAGAATGAAGGAAACTCTAATACAGAAGAAGTAAAGTAAAATAGGTATGATTAATAAAATGAGATGATGTATTGAAATGATTACTTAATCAGAACTCATCTGTCCTGACAAAAAAAAAAAAAAAAAAATGAAATGATTACTTAGGCTGGGGGAAAAAACAAATAAAACCAGAACACAGATGAATGATGAAAAAGACGGGATAGAGGTTGAGCTATGGACAAACAGATTTAGTAGGCATAGGGGAAAGAAAAGAATAAATAGTGTTTGTGATTCAGAAAAAAGGTTTTCAGAGTTTGAAAGTTCATAGTTGCATCTTTACAGACTATAATAAAAGTTAACTATGTATCATTTTTTCAAGTAGAATAGAGATAAATTAGAGATCAAAGTGTTTATTGAGTCGTCATGGTAGAACTTTTGGTGAAGAATTATAAATGGGACCTATAAAGATTGCTTCCCCAGTTTCTGACTTTGTGAGATGAGTGGCATGGAACTGGTTGGTAGAAATGGAGTTTAGCACAGTGAAATATGGTTTATCTATTAATATTAATATATGTTTTTTCCTTTCTAGCATAGTCCAACATAATTTGTAAATACTTAATGACTTAACTATAGGAGTCTCAAATGAGACTAGTCTCCTAAGAAATTTTCCATAATTACTGAAACAGTAAGTGCCACCATTCTCACACAGTGTTGGTTCTCAGATACCTTGTATCTAAATTACATTACAATACAGATTGAGTATTCCTTACCTGAAATGCTTGGGACCATAAGTGTTTTAGATTTCAGATTTTTGAATATTTGCATTATACTTATACTTACTGGTTGAGCATCTCTAATCCAAAAATCCAGGATGTTCCAGTAAGCATTTCCTTTGAGCATCTTGTCAGTTTTCAAAAAGTTTTGGATTTTATAGCATTTTGGATTTCAGATTTTTGGATTTGGGATGCTCAACCTGCATTAGATCTTCCTGAGGGCTTTGATGTGCTCTAAATATGAAACATTGCTCATATTATCTTTTTTTTCTGTGTGGGTTAATCCACAGTCATATAGGAAAAATAATATGGGACAAGTTAAAGATGAGAGATGTTTTATAGAAAAACATAGTTTATTTCTTAGATTTACACTGTCTGGTTTGGAGCCACCAGTTATATGTGACTATTAAGCACTGGAAATGTGGCTAGCCCAAATTAAGGTATGAAATATATACATTGGACTTTGAAGACTTAGCATGAAAAAGTGAATGTAAAATATCTCATTAACATTTTTAATATGTGTTATATGCTTGAAATGACAATATTGCAGATATATTAGATTAAAATGTTATTTAAGGCCGGGTGTAGCGGCTCACACCTGCAATTCCAGCACATTGGGAGGTCAAGGTGGGAGGATGGATTGAAGCCAGGAGTTCGAGACTAGCCTGGGCAACATAGTGAGACTCCATCTTCATAAAAAAATAAGAAAAAAATAGCCAGGGATGGTGGTACACGCCTGTAATCCTTGCTACTCGGGAGGTTGAGGTGGGACGATTGCTTGAGCCTTGGAGTTCGAAGTTGCAATGAGCTGTGATTTCACCACTGTACTCTAGCTTGGGTTATAGTGTGAGACCCCCATCTCTACTGTTTCAAAAAATGTTATTTGAATTAACTTTACCTGTTTCTTTTTTACTTTTTAATGTGGTAATTAAAAGTTTTGTATATAGCTTGCAAATATGACTTATATTCTTGTTGAACAGCACTGTCTTAGGTGAAGGAACTCTACCTTCCTGTTTTGCTATTATATAATTATATGCTTAATTATTTGATGAATTATTAGTCCTTGGTAGAAAAGCAAAAACCAAAAAATGTTGCATGAATATCTGTGGGGTGCTAAGAGCTTAATGAAATTTATGGTGAATGGATTTTAAAATAAATATCCTTAAATTTCTTGTTTTTCTTTTTTTTTTAAGTTATATCTAACAAAAGCTGCTAAACTTTAGGGATAAAAATAATTGGATATCAGACTTTAGCTGGTTAGTCTTGGTGTCTAACATTAGACCTTTGCTTTTGCCTTGTATGGATATCTAAGTGCATTATGGGTTGTTTGTCTTAAGAGCATCATAGTCTACAAGGCTAGATTGTATTATCTGATACAATAAATTTTATGTTATGCTTGGTGATGCTTTGGTTTTGTCCCCCCTTCCCCCAACTTTAGATTTTCTAAAACAATGATATAACTTCATTTGAGAACTTGTTAGAAATACTAATTTTGATCTCCAACCCTGCTGCATCAGAAACTGGTGACGGGGCCTGGCAATGTCTTTTAACCCTCCCAGTGATCCTGATGCACATAAATTTTGAGAAGAATAGTTGTAGATTATACTGCTTTTATAGAAATAACAAAACTCTTCATAACCTCTTCATAACACATCTATTTGTAAGGAATGTAATTAATCACTTTTAAAATCTTACATTCTAAGGTGGATGCTCTCCGATTGCGTTTGGAAGAGAAGGAAACCATGCTGAATAAAAAGACGAAACAAATTCAGGATATGGCTGAGGAGAAGGGGACACAAGCTGGAGAGATACATGACCTCAAGGACATGCTGGACGTGAAGGAGCGGAAGGTTAATGTTCTTCAGAAGAAGGTAAAGTGCAGGTGCTCTGAGTTGCGAGGCCTCTTCTCACATACATCCTCATTCCTACCAGTAAACTATACCTAAATATTGTCAAAGTTTCTTTCTCATTCTTTAGTTTATATTTTTGCAGTTAGTTATTGTTGCAGTAGGTAGATTGTTAAAACTGTTCTGCATATTTAGTTTTTAAAATTTTGAAGTAAACATGGTATCTTTCAGTAGTGCTTTTCATGCTGTTTCAGAAGAGTGCCTTATAAATGGCCAATGTGTTTGAACTGATACTCTTTTGTCCCTTCTGTCTTTTATTGGAATTGTAATGAATTAGTATACTACATGGACTTGGGATAGTGTAATTCCATTTATGTGATAAATAAGGTGATAATTTTGAATTGAAAAATATGCTACTATAATGAATATATAATGTACATGTGTCAAGGAAAGGAAAATTTCTTTTTCTCTTTTACCTTAATCATTGGAAAGAGGTTAACTCTGGAATAAATAAAAAATGTACTGATTGTGGCCCCACCTCTTTTAGTGAAAGTAGGGAATGACCTTGAGTTAACAGTTATAAGAGATGCTGAATTTATTGTTCATCTTTTTGAATTAATAGTGTAGAAATAATTGACATTGTCCCGTTTTATTTTTAACATCAATATTGTTTAACAATAATAGCCAAGGAATAAAAATCTGTTATGGAGTTCTACTCAGCCACAAAAAACAGTGGTGATCTGGCACCTCTTGTATTATCCTGGATAGAGCTGGAACTCATTCTACTAAATGAAGTATCCCAAGAATGGAAAAACAAGCACCACACATACTCACCATCAAATTGGTATTAACTTATCAACACTTAAGTGCACATAAGATTCATTGGGTGTTGGGCAGATGGGAGGGAGAGGAGGCGATGGGTATATATACACACCTAATGGGTCTGGGAGATGGAAACTCTTGAAGCTCTGACTCGGGTAGGGCAAAGGCAGTATCTGTAACCTAAACATTTTGTACCCCCATAATAGGCTGAAATTTTAAAAAATTTACAAAAAATCTCTGTTATACTTCAAATTTAGCAGGTTTTTATTATTACTATTATATACAGAGTATCATGTCCTATATTTGTAGTTTATATTAGTTTGACTTTTATTTGCTTTCAGTAAGTAATCTTAAAAATTTTATCACTCTAAAAGTTGGTTGCCTGTATCATGTTGATGGGTGTTTTAAATTTTTAAAAATACATATATCCTCACTGTTTTCTCCCTACTCCTCACTTTTGCTTACCTATTTCTTATATATTCTTCCAGAAATAGTCTACATATAATATACACAAGCAAATATGTATTCTCTTTTTTATGTTTACCTCTTTTCTTGTATTCTTCCAGACACATGCATGATACATATAGAAGCAAAAGTGTGTGTGTGTGTGTGTGTGTGTGTGTGTATGTGTTTCAATACAAATCCTAGCATTCCTTACTACTTTTTTTCCTTCAGTTAATAAATTTGGGAACTCCTTTCAAGGGCTTACACATTGTTATTACTAATGATGTTGTATAGATGTATAATAATTTATTTAGCAAAGTCTCTACTGATGGACATTTAGTTTGCTCAAAATTCTACTTTTACATAAAATAATGCTGTAGTAACAAATGTTGTACATATTTAGTTTATACATATGTAAGCATATTTCTAGGATAATTTCCTTGAAGGAGAATTGCTGGGTGAAAGGATATGCATTTATAATTTTGATGGGTAGCCAAGTAGCCTTAGAGATTGTACCAACTTTTGTTTCTGCTATCAGTGGATGAAAGTGCTATTTCTCCCATGTACTTGTCTACGAGTATAACGAGTATATTATCAAACTTTCTGACTTTTTGCCAGTCTGATAGGTGAGAAAACAATGTCAGTGTAGTTGCTGTTCTTTTATCATAAGTAAGGCTGAACATATTGTTATATATTTAAAGTCTTTTGTATTTTCTTTTCTGTAAGTTATATGTTCATATGTTTTATCCATTTTTATTTTGAGTTCTTTCCTTTTAAAAAAATTGATTTGTAGTTCTTTCCCAATTGAAAAATGAACTCTTTTAGTCTGATGTGAGTTCCAAATATTTTTTCCTGTTTGGCGTTTTAGTGGGTAGGTGGGGGGTCTCGCTATGTTGCTCTGGCTGGCTTCAGATTCCTAGGTTTAGGGATCCTCCTGCCTTCGCCTCTAGAGTAGCTAGGACTACACGCTCGTGCCACCATGCCCAGCTCTGTTTGGCCTTTCACTCTGTGTCTTTTTTTTTTTTTGAGACAGAGTCTCGCTTTGTTGTCCAGGCTAGAGTGAGTGCCGTGGCGTCAGCCTAGCTCACAGCAACCTCAAACTCCTGGGCTCGAGCGATCCTTCTGCCTCAGCCTCCGAGTAGCTGGGACTACAGGCATGCGCCACCATGCCGGCTAATTTTATATATATATCAGTTGGCCAATTAATTTCTTTCTATTTATAGTAGAGACGGGTCGTCGCTCTTGCTCAGGCTGGTTTGAACTCCTGACCTTGAGCAATCCGCCCGCCTCGGCCTCCCAAGAGCTAGGATTACAGGCGTGAGCCACCGCGCCCGGCCTACTCTGTGTCTTTGTGTGTGTGATCTGTGTCTGATAATCAGACTTTTTTTTTTTATATTTATAAAGTGAAGCCTTCTGGATTTTGTGTCATACTTCAAAAGTTCTCTTTTAGAATGTCTCTTCTCTTCTATTGATCTGTCTTTGTATTTAGTTCCACTATTTTAATTTTTGTGTTTTTGTGATATATGTTAATAGCTAACTCTTTCCATGGTACTTTTCTTTTTCAGAATGTTTTAGTTATTTTTTCTTCCCTAGTTTTCCATTTGAAATTTAGAATCAGCTTTTGTCATCCTCTGCCCTTAATTCTTTCTGTTGTGTTTTTTATTGGGATTGCATAAAATTAGTAGAACTTACTAATTCAGGAAGCATTGACAAAAATGTGGTATGAGTGTCTATGAATTCAAGTTTTGTGCTCCTCTGAAGTGTTTTAATATTTTCTTCATATAGATATTGTACATTTATTAAGTTTATTCCTAGGTTTTCTGTTATAAATAGTGTTATATTTTTTATTATATCTTCTGACTGCTTATTTTTATATATATGAGAACTTGTGATTTCTGTATTTTAGTTTTGTGTTTAGTCACCATACTGAATTCTCTTAATGCTTGGGTTGATTTTTTAGTTTATTTCTTTGGCTTTTCCAAATATGAAGTGATATTTTCAAGGAATAATTAAAGTCTTCAATTTTAATGCATGTACCTCATTTTTTTCTCTTTTCTACCAGTGCATCTGAAACTATACTAAATGATATTGGTGATAATGGACATCTTTGTTTTATACCTGATCTGAATGAGAATGCTTTCAGTTTTTTCCCACTAAAGTATGATGCTTGCTTTTGGGTTAGAATTGATAGATACGTTAAGAAAGTATCCATTTAAATAAAGTGAGTTTTAATCAAAGATGGATACTTTTATGGATGTTAAATTTTATTACACATACCTTTCGGCAGCCATGAAAGATGGTTGATTTTTGTGTGTGTATGTGTGTGATTTTTTTAATACAGTGATGTGTAAATAGTAGACTTCATAATTCCAAACCATTTTTAAATTTCTAATATACTTCATTATTCCTTTTCTTTCCTATTTTGCTTCTCATGTATTTACTTCTTATTAGGCACAATAGCATGTTGACTACTGATGTGTGTACATTGATTTTGATTCAGACTTTGCTGAATTTATTCATCAGTTCTGGGAGTCTTTTGGTGGAGTCTTTAGGGTTTTCTAGATACAGGATTATACTATCAGTGAACAAGGATAGTTTTACCTCCTCTTTCCTGATTTGGATACTCTCTCTCTTGCCTGATTGCTCTCTCTGGCTTGGACTACGGAGCTATGTTGAATGGAAGTGCTGGCAGTGGGCACCTTTGTTTCCTTCCGGTTCTTAGAGGGATGCCTTCAACTTCTCCCCATTCAACTATGATGTTGGCTGTGGGTTTGTCATGTATGGCTTTTATATTAATAATTTTGAGGTATCTTCCTTCTATGCCTGTTTGTTGATTTTTTTTTTTTTTTTTTTTTTTTTTTTTGAGACAGAGTCTCACTTTGCAGGCTAGGATGAGTGCTGTGACATCAGCCTAGCTCACAGCAACCTCAAACTCCTGGGCTCAAGCAATCCTTCTGCCTCAGCCTCTCGAGTAGCTGGGAGGACTACAGGCATGCGCCACCATGCCCAGCTAATTTTTTCTATATGTATTAGTTGACCAATTACTTTCTTTCTATTTATAGTAGAGACGGGTCTCGCTTTTGCTCAGGCTGGTTTTGAACTCCTGACCTCAAGCAATCCGCCCACCTTGGCCTCCCAGAGTGCTAGGATTATAGGCGTGAGCCACTGCGCCTGACCTGTTGATGGTTTTTATCAAGAAAGGATGCTGGATTTTATCAAATGCTTTTTCTGCATCTATTGAGACGATCCCGTGGTCTTTGTTTTTGCTTCTCTTTATGTGGTGAATTATCTTTATTGATTTGCATATGTTAAACCATCCCTGCATCCCTGAGTGAATTATCCTTTTGATGTGTTGTTGAATTCAGTTTGCTAGTATTTTGTTGAGGATTTTTGCATCTATATTAATAAGGGTAAAATATTACTCATTTTCTTGCTTTTTATTTAAAGTTGAATTTAAATAAACTTTTCATAGGTTTTTGTTTTGGGAGCTACATACTCATTTCATTTCCACATTTTTCTATTAAGTGTTTTTTTTTTGTGTGTGTATCTGTTAGATAAATTGGTCTCTTTCCTCTCATGATTTATAAATATATTTTCTTATTTGTCATATTTTTTTTTTTTTTTTTGAGACAGAGTCTCGCTTTGTTGCCCAGGCTAGAGTGAGTACCGTGGCGTCAGCCTAGCTCACAGCAACCTCAAACTCCTGGGCTCAAGCGATCCTCCTGCCTCAGCCTCCCGAGTAGCTGGGACTACAGGCA